ATCCAATACTCGGCATGGCTAATAGACTCACTGTATATGTTTAATATGTTTGAGATTAAAAACATGCCTATTATTGTGTAAACCCACTCAAAACTATTTTTTTTTATAAATGAATGGTCCTTTAGAGTACTTATTTACATTTTTTTTCCAATTTTGAGAAAACATCGAAAATGTGCTTATTTTTACCCATATGCCGAACATAGGAAAATCGTCAATTTTTACTTCCTAAGGGCGACATCGATAAAAATATCATAATTTCAAATATTTCTTAACAATTTCAAATTCTAAAGTGTTCCTCTGAATGTTCTTAACAAGTATAACAAAATCCGAGTGAAAAATCTATAGTTTCAATATAGCTACGAGTCTTTAAAGTCGGCGTGCTTAATATTTCTTTCGTAAGAAGCGTGTGTTGTCGGTAGTAATGAAAGAACCACATTGAGAAAAACTCAAATTACTGCCGAATAAATGATCTTAGCTCGATGAAATTTTACACAGAGATAGATGACAATGTTATTGAAGATTATTTAAGCAGTTTTCATATTTAGTGAGATGTTATTTGAAGTTATATACAACTGATGCCGAGTACTGGTACATTAGCAGCACTTACCTTATACGCCTAAAGCCAGCATACCATATGTTACCCTACACAACTTCCACGAAAATCTAACTTTCTGCGGTTCTATATTCTGAAAAAAACACGAAAAAAATAAGTTTTCGGTCCGTTTCATCCAAAAAATATTATCTGATCATCACCGAAAATTATAGGCGTTGTCCTTGACCACCTCATGGAACCTCATGGAAAATTTGAAAGCGATCAGCGCTATATTTCCACCCTCTAATGTTGTAATAGGTTACAAAATAATATCTGAGTACATAAGCACCAGTAAATATTTAAGTGTAACTCCCGCATCCGACTACATACAACAATATAATTGCTATCAATTTAAAGGTCAACTCCACTTGGATATACTATCAAATTCTCGGGTATATGTCCTATAGAATACAAATTTTGTAATTTTTCACACAAATGTCAGCGTCCATTTGACCCGCTAACTATTGACCGATCTTTATGAAAACATGCATGCTTATTCTTTGGCCCGATCCCCTTCTCCATACAAAAATTCGCGATGTTTGGGCGATAATTGCGGCCTCTAGAGCAACCTGAAAAGCCGAAAAAATAAGTATTTGGTCCATTTCATCCCCTAAATATTAACCGATCTTTAACAAAAACAATAGGGGTCTTCATTGGCCAGAACCCATCATACATGCAAAATTTAGTGAAGATTGCTCCATAACTCTGAACTGTATCGTGTTTACAAATTATAATGGACAGACGGACGGACACACATGTATATATTAAGAATAGTATAATAATATATTTAGATGTTTTGCAAAATATATCGCGAGAACAGGTCCTTAAAAAATATCGGTCCAGATACATGCAAAATTTCGTGAAGATTGCTCCATAACTGTGGCCTGTATCGTGTTTACAAATTATAATGGACAGACGGACACATATATCTTTCGATTTGCACGAAATTTGAGCCTAGATTGATGTCTGCCAAGTTTCGTGAAAATCGGTCGAGATTTCGATATAGCTCTCATATATGGTTTCGTCCGATTTCATGTAAATGGTGCACCAAAGTCTCTATATATCTTTCGATTTGCACGAAATTTGGCATAACGTACTGTATTGAGCCTAGAGTGATGCTCCCATATATATTTTCGTCCGATGTAATGTAAATGGGGCACCAAAGTACACATATATTATTGGATTTGCACGAAATTCGGCATAGCGTACTGAATCGATGCTGGAATGATGTGTGCTGAGTTTCGTGAAAATCGGTTCAGATCTAGATATATATATATATATATATATATATATTTTCGTCCGATTTAATGTAAATAATGTACCAACGTTTTTATGTTGCTTAGCATACTAAATTTAGTCAAGAATGATATGTGACAAGTATCGTGAAAATCGGTTGAGATTTAGATATAGCTCCTTTATATTATAGATTGATTTTAAGTAATTGACGCACCAAGGAACCAATATATGGCTGATAGGAACAAAACGTACTGAAATTAGTATAACCTAACCTGTGACAAGTTTCGTTGAAATCGGTTCATATTTGGATATAGCTTCCATATATTTTAGTCCGATTTTAAGTAAATTGGGTATCAAACTCCTCATGTTAGTCAGATTGACATCAAATTTTGCACAATGTACAAAATTGATCATCGAATAACGTAGTTGCGTTTTCTAGAAGAACAGACATAGCCCGACGGATGACCTATTGATATTTGTTTGAAGTCGATTTACATACTTTTGTCCCATTGCACTATAGGTAATTTGGACTGTTTTTAGGCAAAAAGTAATTTTTTCAATTTTGGAAAATAATATATTTTTTGGTGGCAATAAAAAGAAAACATATCAAAATTTATGATTCTGTAAGATTTTTTGCGTAAATGTGTCTTTAAAGCGGTGGAAATCGTTGCCAAACTCCACACTTTGAAAATAAAATTAAAGAAATAAAAATTTTTAAAAATTAAGGCTTATTTTAAAACGTTTGAAACCGCTTAATACAAATCATAAACATAAAAATTAAACATGGAGAGTATTGGCGGTGGTGTGTGCTGTTTATTTAATATATAATATTTGTTAATACGTTTGTGTAGCGATTCAAAGTTGACATAGTTGACTATAATAAAATAAATGTGTTTATTTTTTACACATAAGTCATTTTAGATAGACTTTTACTAAAATGTTTAAATTTGTCTGATCTTTTGACAACTGTAATATATAAATGAAAGCTTCCTAAATCGATTCCAATACGTCTCAAATTGCGATTTTTTGAATTTTTCAAGATATATCCGTTTTTTGTAGAGAACTTCAGAATAAAAAACAATAAAATTTTCAATATTTGGTTTGATGAAAGAAATAAAAGCAAGGAAACATATTGTTATTTACAACGTCCCCGCACGTAAAGTTGGCAATAACAGCAATAAGGACGAAAAATGCGTCAACTTAAAAAAGGAAATTAGGTAATTTTGCATGCATTTGTCAAAATGGACCAAATGTCATAGGAAGATAGAACTTTTCCGCGAAAAAAAACGAATGCACTCGAATTTTGATTACAAAATAAATAACAAGACTCGTAAACCGCAAATAGGTTGTTGAAGTAAAGATTATGAGAAAAAATCTTAAAAGTGCAAAAGAGGAAATGGTGGGCTTGGGTTTCCCTTAGAATATAAACCACCAAAAATTGATTTTTTCAGCATTGATTAAAAATAAAAAAATACATACGAAAAAATGTTGTTCAGTATATCCAGGGTTTACTATAATCGTGTTCGACTGTAGTAAACTTGGTTTGATCTCACTTTTACATATTAATAACATCAAAGAGTAAAAATGGGTACTGAATTAATTACTATTAATGCATTCTGCAAAAACATACAACATTGTAATAATTATTCCTTTAAAAATCTAATCGCGGGGTCGATTTTTTTAACTTACTACTCTAATAGTTTTCAACCGTGTATAAGAAAACTAATCAAAATATCTGAAAAATAATAAGCTTTGTTCGTTATATGTGTAGTTGCTTATAACCGTTGTTCGTTATATCCGGTTTCTACTGTGGAAATCTGCGTTTTATCTTTCTTGTACATATAAATCATTTAAAAAGTCAAAAAATCGTTTAACACCGCTGTTATTAATTTTGTCCTCAAAACAGGGCAAATTACCTATAGTGGAGTGGTACCAAAAGGTGTGGACCGACCTTTGAACTTGATTTAAGTGTTGAAGAAAAATTACGATGTGCAAAGTTGGTCAGCCAGACGGACTGACAATTGTAAATCGACTTCAAATTGTCTTGAACGGATTTAATCCATAAAAACATTGGGTTTAAATCCTATATCTCTCTAAGGCACATTTTTTCATAGATTTAAGACTGAGGGTAAAACAGCGAAAACATTTCCTGGTCCAGAAGTTTTAAGACATATTTTTCATATTATTCTTTATTCTTGTAGCGAACTACGGATATATCGAACATTTTTATAACGAACAATTTATTTATTTTTAGGTTTTCGTTTATTTTAATTTGGTTATAAAGAACTTTACTGCGTAAGTTAATTAATACGTTAACGCTAGCAATTTTTACATAAAAAATATTGCCAAAAACGACATAAAATCTACCAGTTTTTCTACTGAATATTTTTGTTTGCTAAGCCGCTATTTGCCTTACTTTGGATAAAACGAACTTCTTCTATAACGAACTCATTTGCTTGTTCCTTACTTGTTCGTTATAACCGTACTTTCCTGTATTTGTATTTGGTAAAACAACCATAAAACAGTACCACCCAATTTAATGCATTTTAGAGGTTTTTGGGCACATTTTCAATTTAAATTTTTTCTTTTAGCTTCCGTAAAGCGGTTTTAAAGATCTCCTCACGAGTTAGGGATAACAATTTCTAAGTTCAACAGCAGTTTATATATGTATATTTCTTATTTTATTAAAACCAATTGATTTTTTAAATTATTTTATGCAAAAAAGTACATTCTGGGTATGATTGATTTCCTTTAATCAATCAATGTTTTCGCATTTTTTGTACCTATTAAAATGATCGTCAGTGTTATTTTTGCAACAAATAAATACCATTTCTTTACTAGGTAATTAAGGTCTGTCATTATGTATACTTTCATTTATCGAATAAATAAAAAACAATAACAAGACATTGTGCTGCTGACATTGTGGACGGAGCAACAATTCCTTATCTGACAACTGATAACAAACAGAACTTATAATCCACATTTCTACACACATTAGTCTATGTCCGGACACAAGTAAATGAGTTAGAACACAACAGTTGATTAAATTCAGTTCTCAATACTCAATCGAAAAGTGCGGATCCGTCCCGGTTGTAAAAATAAGAAAACGAACAAATACCGATTTGTATTTTCTTTATTTTGTTCATCTCTCTGCCACCGAACACAATAAAAAATGGGTTGTGGCGAATCAACATTAAAGTTTACATTATTTGTATTGAATATTTTGTGTTTTGTGAGTGTTTAATTGTTTTTTTATTACCAACAGAAATTATGTAAGAAAGTTTAACTAAAGGCGTAGAGAAGTGAAATTAAAAAAAAAAACATAATAAACAGCATTGTATTTTCAAAAATAAATACTGTAAATAAATATATATTGAAAATAAATAAATATTGAAAATAATAAAGCTGATTGTGAGTTATTGATATTTATGAAAACTTTGATTGAACATTCTTATCCAATGAGCTTTTCACTAAAATATAAAATAATAATTACGCGGTGAAATTTATTAAAATCACAAAATGTGAAAATGAAACAAGTGAATGAAACTCATAAAAAATAATGGCACAATATATATTAATATGTGATTGAAAAAAATCTGACGTTTAGCAAACAAACATTTAGCAAAAAGTGTATCGATGTAGAATATCTTCGAAATTGATTGGATAAAAAATAAGCGCTCTATAAATCAGAAATCAATCTCTCATACATATAGTCTAAATCGAGGGAAACTTCTTTGTCTAAACTTTGAGCGTCGAAATATTTATACCAAAATATGATCATGTCCAAATATGGGTATCTGCTATCTCCAACATAAATAAAAATGTTGCACATAATTTATTACTCAAACTTAACAAGTAAAACCGTAAGGAAAGTAGTAAAGTCGGACGGGTTCGACATATTAATAGACGTCGCATTTTTGAAAGACCATTGACATCAAATTGGACGAACTATATGTGAACCGAACCAACCACATGTCATTCTGCAAGCTATGCTACATTTCATTCGGACAGATTTAGAGACGTTTTTACAATGGGACAAAATAATCGATTTGAAGAAAACTTGACACACGCTATTTGGTTTGTGGCAGAACAGCACACTGTGCAAAATTTCGTGTAAATCTTACAAACGTGAGGACTTTGGTGCACAATATATGGGTTTTTATCTTAATCTGCTGAAACTATTTCAACAAAATTTGACAATTCACTGACGTTAGTGCGTTCTGCAATATTTTGTGTCAATCGGCCATATTTTGGGCCTTTGGTTCAACATTTACTTACAGTCGGACTATAATATATATGGGAGCTATATCTAGATCTGAGCCGATTTCAACAAAACAAGACGCACGTTTGACTATACTAATATCGGTACGTTTTGGAAAAATTTTCTGCCAATCGGCAAAATTATGGGTCTTTGGTACACCATTTACTTAAAATCGCGCGAAAATATATATGAGAGCTATATTCCCCGTAGGGTTCGTCCTTGGGCTCAATAAGTGGGCTGTGCCAAATTCTGTAATTTGCTCACAAGAATACATGGGCAGACAGACATGCATAAATCGAAAGGAACCACTGATATATACCCTGACTGAGTTTGATAAATTGGATACTCCCTTGGGAGTTATCGTGAGTATCAGTCAGACAGAAGTACGGATATTTGAAGATCGGCTATAAGTTTTCTGAAATGGATTTGGTAAAAAAACATGAGGTCTGAAATCAATATTCGAGGCTGAGGGTATACAAAAAGGTAGAACGTTGATCAACTTAATATATCGGCAACACTAACTAATACCCATACTGACAAGTATTTGTAATTAAATTTCCAACCCTTTTTGTATCTATATATACCATACAACAGCGAATAATGGTCAGAAGAGTGGCTGTAACTCTCGAAAGCAATGGTGATAATACTTCTGACGGGCAGGATTGTTATTAGGGGATATACAAACTTGAAATCCTCAAAAAAACCAAAAATATAAGGAGACCCCTACCATTTTTGAAGAAGATGAAAAAATTGACAAAATATTGTTATTCTTTTTAATTAAAGAAGAGTCCTTCTTTTCGACGGCCAAAATGCCTAAAAACATGTTGGAAAATAGTGAAGACCTTCACCGATTGAATTTTTTCCGGTTCTTACGATAGCTAAGTAGTTCCAGAATAAAGTATACAAATTTGAAACCCATTGGATTAAGAGAAAAATGCGTATAAATTTTGCCGTCGCTTGATGCTTCCACAATAAATGATGCATTTTTGAGACATTTGAAGGTTCATTTTATATAAAAAACCGATTTTTTATAAATCCATTTACATTGGAAAATAAGTCGGCACGATTAATGCTATGTATTCCTAAAAAGGTTTCTAACTCCAGGTTCAAAAAGGCTACGACATGTACAGGTCCTGTACAGGAGTTAGATGAGCAGGTTTGGCTGGCCAGTTGAAGGACAGATATTATGCCATGAATTCGTGCCCAATACAAATTGGGACGGATACAGCATCCAGAACTCAATTGTTTCAACACCACTCTGGTTTGTCTCGATAGCTGCTGCTATCGGTGGTGGTTTTTCTCCGAGGATTGTAGTCATTCTAGTATTCTCGAATTGCTTGTAAATAAAATTAAATTTGCTTGATAAGCCTAGACCTAGAGGCTCTCTTTTGTACCTCTACACCTTTCTCTCCAGGTCATGAATATCCTTCCTGACATACCTGAGTGGAGAATTTCTATACATAAAGTGAAGGTTCGGATTGCTGCTTTTGGTGTTTTGAATATCTGCTTGCTCATTTTAGTCGAAAGATTTGCTGCTAAATTAGAACCGAAAAAATTAAGCATGGTTAGTTCTGGCCATAGTATTGTGGTGCATAGGTCGAATATGAACAAACCCGTTCACGAAAGATATAAGAATAATGATATGGCATGACAACAAAATATTTTGCCTAAAAAAAATAATAATATCTTAAAGAACAGTGGCCGGTGTCTGACAAAGTTGCTATAAATAAAAATTATATGATAAACGGTGGTATTAATATATTTATATTTTGATAAAACAAAGTAAATATCTGATAAAAAAAATGAAAATTATGTCAGCACAAGGTAATTAGTATTTACACTTCACTTTTTTCTTTTGGCAATGAAACTTTAAAAGCTTTCTATTGTGACCAATACAGTCAAGAACAATCGTTTATGTGCATGATTATAAATGTTTAATTCTAAATGTAAAACTTATACAATTTTTGGTGGTTGAGAAGAGTATTAAACATACATATGTCGTCCATCGATTGGTTCGCAAGGTTGATTAGCTATATATATATATATATAGTTCCCCACTCCTTAAAGTACTGAAATTTAGAGGACAAATTTATATGAGGCTACGACTTAGGGGGCAAAATATTGATTACATCTGGTAGGAAATACCGAAAATCTGGAGGTAACATTATATAGCGGCTATGACTAAATATGGACCGATATATTCGATATTTTCAAATCTGAGCTTTTAGTTTTATATCACCATTGTCGATATTTTTGGTAACTAAAGGACCAGGTTCGGAAATGACCTATATGTTTAATATAGCTCATCTTCGCACCTAGTCTTATACTTTTACATCTCGATATCCTCTGAAGGTAGTACGATTACAACAGATATACAAACAGATGGAAATGGCAAAATTGTCATAGAATTCTAAGCATTGTATTAACTGACAATTTCGAGTACAGAACATCGCGCTCAAAAACCCCAACATACTGAAAATTTTGGGTTGCCGTTATATAGGGGCTACCCATAAAATTGGATCAATGTTGATAGTTGTTGTCGAAAAGATTTGGTACCCATTTAAAACTCAGCATACCAATTTACAGCCAATTCGAGCAACATATTTGTCCAAAATCCTCCAGATCCAAATATTTGAGGGGGTGTTGTTATATAGTAGTAATATATATATATATATCACTCTCAGAAAAAAATCCTTCGAGTGTTGTATTAAATATTATTGGGATTTGTTTAACATCCTCTTAACAATTAATTATTTCACTCAAATCCTCATTAATAATTGTAAATGATCTCTTTCGAATTTTGCAAATTGTTTTCAGATACTTGGCGTCTTAACATTATCAGCATGCGTTTTTGCCCTAATCGAATTTGAATTCAGTGAAGCAGTTAAAATACCCTGCATCGTGAGCAGTGTCTTAAGTTGCATTTTATTCTTAAATAGCATTTTGGGTTGCTGTGGCGCCCAAAACAAATCGGTGCGATTAACATGGGCTGTAAGTATAACTTCTCATAAATAATGCGGATAATATCTATTAATTTATGAATTTTGAAATTTGCAGTATTCCGTAATTATGTTGCTGCTGATGGTAACACAAATCGCTGTGATATTTATTCAACCCATTAATTTCAATAATGTGTCCACCGAAGTAATTGAAAAGGCATGGAATGTAACGGATATCCAAAAGGACTATTTGATGACATCGTATGAAATAAAGGTGGGTCAAATCTTATAAATTTCAAAAATCTACTCTTGTATCTAAATTGTATATGAGTCCAAATCTTAATAGATTCAAAATGTCTTACCCGAAGTATGTCTTCGACTATCATTCTATACACATTTTTAAGAAAGAAATAATTTCTAAAAATATTCACCACTATATCGTAAATAGTGTATGTAGTTATACAACAATAAATTTTTTCAACTACAATATGTCTTACCATTTCTCTCTATAATTTTTTTTTTTCTAAAAACTCATTGTAGTACGAATGTTGCGGAAAATTTGGACCAACCGATTATTCAGAGCTGAATGTTACGATACCACTCAGTTGTTACAGAAATCACAATAATCGGATCGAAACAAATCTCTTCGAAAGCGGTTGTATTGACAAACTCAATGCTATGTTTACATCGAATCAACGTATTGAAGAAATCAGTGATTGGACTTTGGCTGGTCTGGAGGTAAGTTAATTTATAGAATAACATATCAATTTTATTTAAATACGTTATATTTTCGTTTATAGGGAATATCATCACTGATTGGTGGAATGCTGGCAATCACGTTACAAAATATCGAAAGACGAAAATTTTACCACTGAGTAGTTAGTACAAATGTGCGTGTGTGTGTTAAATTTAGTCACTAACATGTAATTTAATTTATTTTCAAAATACATTCAATGATATTTAGAGCAATGCAATTCAAATAATAAAAAAATGTTGCATTTTACAACAGGTACATAAAAATATTGTATATATTAAATATTCATTTAGAATTGTGTAAACTTTGTACGGAGCAATAAAACAGTATTATAACTACGATTTAATGTATACAATTTATTTCATACAGACGTTCAAATAAAATTTAAAAAATCGAAAGTTTTAAGCCGTTTGTATCCATTCAATCATTTAATTAATATATCTCCCACGGCCCAGAAATAGTTTTTCCATGAGAAATAAATTCCGAACTTGATTGCCTAGAATATGCCAAAAAAATTAATACTTTTAATCAGGGACCGAAAATAACAGTTATTTTTAAAAATACGAAACTGTTAAAAATGATTGTTATTTTTGCCGTTGACACTTTTAGAGATTTTTATTTTTTTCCGTCAAAAATAAAAATCATTGCAGGAGTTTTATTGTTTCCGTCAATAAATAATACTCTTTTTACGTAAATAAGATTATACAACTTGTAATCAGTTTTTAAATTACAATTTATAAATCACAGTTCTTATTGCAATAAGTGTATACATGAGTGATCAAGATCGAAGGTAAAAAATATTTGTTATATAATTTTAAAAATAGTTTAATGTATAAAATTAAGAATATTAATTAAAGAATCCCTGACTATTAGGTCAATGGTAATATAACTGGTACCAAACTCTATATTTTTGACGGGGGAAATCCTCAATAGAGTTTTATTTTTGACGGAAACAATAAAATTCTCTAAAAGAGTTTTATTTAAATAATAATAAGGTAATAAAAATCCGTAAAAGAATTTTATTTTTGACATTTTCCCGTCAACAATCATTTTTAACAGTTAAAAATCAACGTTTATTTATTCCGTAAAAAATAAATAATTAAAATGGATTGTTTTATTTATGGCACAAAATAACTGTTACTTTTTAACTAATTTAATATTACTTATAACCGTTACGGTCCCTGCTCTTAATTATTCTTAATTTATTATCATTGGTTATTTATATATGAACGCCTAAAGGCATGCAATAGAAAAATAGCTATGGATTCACCACCAATATAAGAAGCGGATTACTCTATTCAAACAATAGCTTTTATCATAATAATGTGTATTATTTTCATTTAGTTGCAAAATCGAACTCAATTCGCCACGATTTACCATACAAAGTTAAATACACTTAATATCTCAATTTGATCGAAATCCTATGCTAAACCGACAACTCTTTCGACCTTAAGTAAGCTTTAAAATCAATTAATATTTAAATTAACTCCCTAAGAGTATGTTTATATTGTACTGGATTTAATAAATTCAGTCATTTTATAAGTACAGTACAGGCCTAAATTATCAATTCCATAGTATAAATATGAAATAAATCCTCATAGAGTAGGTTATCCCGGGATAAAATAGTTATAGAGTAAATGCCGTTTAACAAACATATATATCAGCTGCTGAAAAATACAATCTTTTTAATTTGTGGAAGGCAAATTTAGGAAAATATTACGTTATACATGTCCGTCCGCATGTCTATATATTTTTATTCAACATAACACAACGCGACCATTGCAATTGTTAGTCCATTCATCCCATAGGATTTGATATATTTTTCTGTCCCCGTCTTTGATATATACCTGAGACTGAATACTGCATCTGTGTTCGCATAAATTCCAATATGCGATAGATTAATGATTTATTTTTTTATTAATTTCATTTGCAAAGTAGTTGTGGGATGTGAGTATAATCGTCTTCTCAATACCATATTCCACGAAGATATCTATTGTTATATTTATGGAATAAAAGAAATATTTTTCAATCAATTTTGAAAACGAAGTTATGATCACATGAGATGTTGCATACTGCATAGCCGGTGGAGGTATTGCCGACTGAGGAATCTGTTGCCTAGATTAAAGAGCCTGGCTGGTTATTTTTGGCGATTCCAAGATTTGCAATAAAATTCTTCAGTTTTGATTAAGTCATTGATTGATTTGGTTTTAGCAGTGGGAGTTGAAGTGAACCTTCCATAAATGGATTTATGCAATATTTTGAATTTTATTAGTTCCTTCGCTGCTATGTATTGCGATCGTTGTTCTGGTGGTAAGCACAGAGCTATATATATATATATAGCATTTCCACATTAAATGAAACCTTTTACAAATTAAATGAACCCTTTTCCAAATTAAATGAACCCTTTTCCAAATTAAATGAAACCTTTTCCAAATTAAATGAAACCTTTTCCAAATTAAATTAAACCTTTTCCACTTGAAATGAAACCTTTTACAAATAGAATGAAACCTTTTCCAATTAAAATGAAACCTTTTACAAATAGAATGAAACTTTTTCCAAATTAAATGAAACCTTTATTCTTATCTACGGAAATATAATATTTGCACTAATTTTAAACCAATATTTGAAAATTAAATCAAAGAATATTAACAAATAATACAACTATGTAATGCTATGTAATTAACATAAATATTCTTTAATTTGGTGTGATTTCATTTAATATCTTTACTACATAAAACTAAATAAATAGTAATACAAACTGGGGTATTTCTTGACATTTTAATAAATAAATATTTAAGAACAAGAATTGAATACCCGGTCCTAAATGCGAAATACATATTTGACTTAATAAATTGTTGATGATAAGGTAACTGCTTATCTTAATGAAGGGGTTCCCGACTTGCAGCTTGTGGGATTTTCAAAACCATGTCCATAACGTAGTTAGCACAATCTTGCCGAGTAAGCTTTTGAATACTTCGCTCGATTACATCAACAATGTTATGTTCCATTGAAACGTCACACAGCTCAGCTCTTGCACATAATTTTATTTTTGAAAATGCATTTTCAATTGGATTTAGCATTGGAGAATAAAGCGGTAAGAATTTAAGGTTCCATCTTTTGGATTCGATCAAATTTTTTATGTCATGTCGCTTGTGTATTTGAGCGTTATTTTCCAACTCTGGATTGATTTTCTCAAAAAAAATTTTCTATAAATAATTTAAATCTGTCTGCATTGACACTGGAATTAGAAACGATTGTGTGATGTACAACTCCCGCGTTGTTTATTGCTGCAATTATGGTGACATTACGACCTCTGACCGTAGGCAACACAATGTGTGCTCTTGTTCCTTGTCTTGAACGGGCTTGGGTTCTTCGTATGTGAAGATTAAATCCACACTCATCAATGAATATAAATTTTTCTCCTTGTTGGGGTATCCATTTTGTAAAGTCTTGAGCATATTTTTGTCTCAAGCCTAATGTTCTGGAGTCATTCTTTCGTTCTATTTCAATAGAGGACATCTTCAACGTAATTTTTAATTTCCGTAATCCATATTCTATGCGGCTTGTGGAAATATTTATATCATTTTCTCTCAACAGTTTAGTTTTTATGGCTTTGAGGGTAATTCCAGGTTGACTTTCTACATAGAACTCGATCAGACTTAAAACTTGTGATGTCAACAACTTAATTCTATTTCCTCCACGCTTATTTTCCTTCAATGTTCCAAAATTTTGTTTGTAATTACTTCACATTGTCGAGAGTTTACTGTTTTGGATGTTCACATTATCGAGAGTTCACTGTATTTAAAAATAGCAACGTTTAAAATAAATGCGAACCTGATTTTAGCTCGGGAAGCTCTGATAATTGGGAACCTGAGGAAGAATCAATATCCTCGCCAAGTATTGCAAGTGGAAATGCTCCAGAACCTACCGAAGCTACATCTACAAGACCCCGAAACAAATTGGGTCAGTATAACAAAATAACAAAAGACATGAAATTGTTATTATTTAAATTCTATGAAGAGGGGAGAACCATTTCCGAGGCTGCAAATTTAACCTGCATAAACATAAATTCCGAAAAAACATTTATAAGAAGATACAAACAAAATTTTGGAACATTGAAGGAAAATAAGCGTGGAGGAAATAGAATTAAGTTGTTGACATCACAAGTTTTAAGTCTGATCGAGTTCTATGTAGAAAGTCAACCTGGAATTACCCTCAAAGCCATAAAAACTAAACTGTATGAGAGAAAATGATATAAATATTTCCACAAGCCGCATAGAATATGGATTACGGAAATTAAAAATTACGTTGAAGATGGCCTCTATTGAAATAGAACGAAAGAATGACTCCAGAACATTAGGCTTGAGACAAAAATATGCTCAAGACTTTACAAAATGGATACCCCAACAAGGAGAAAAATTTATATTCATTGATGAGTGTGGATTTAATCTTCACATACGAAGAACCCAAGCCCGTTCAAGACAAGGAACAAGAGCACACATTGTGTTGCCTACGGTCAGAGGTCGTAATGTCACCATAATTGCAGCAATAAACAACGCGGGAGTTGTACATCACACAATTGTTTCTAATTCCAGTGTCAATGCAGACAGATTTAAATTATTTATAGAAATTTTTTTTTGAGAAAATCAATCCAGAGTTGGAAAATAACGCTCAAATACACAAGCGACATGACATAAAAAATTTGATCGAATCCAAAAGATGCAACCTTAAATTCTTACCGCTTTATTCTCCAATGCTAAATCCAATTGAAAATGCATTTTCAAAAATAAAATTATGTGCAAGAGCTGAGCTGTGTGACGTTTCAATGGAACATAACATTGTTGATGTAATCGAGCGAAGTATTCAAAAGCTTACTCGGCAAGATTGTGCTAACTACGTTATGGACATGGTTTTGAAAATCCCACAAGCTGCAAGTCGGGAACCCCTTCATTAAGATAAGCAGTTACCTTATCATCAACAATTTATTAAGTCAAATATGTATTTCGCATTTAGGACCGGGTATTCAATTCTTGTTCTTAAATATTTATTTATTAAAATGTCAAGAAATACCCCAGTTTGTATTACTATTTATTTAGTTTTATGTAGTAAAGATATTAAATGAAATCACACCGAAT